AATATATATATATATATATATATATATATATATTGTTTTTTCAGTTATTTAAAAAACAATATATAAATTAAATATCACAAATATTAAAAAATAATATATTTTTTCAGTTATTTTATATATAAATAATTTTGAAAAAAAATAAAATTATTTTCAGTTTATAAATCAAATATCACAAAACAAATATACACACAAAATATATCTACTTTATCAACATATTATATACAAAAAAAACGAAAAAATTATTAATGTGTATCTGAAATTGATGAATAAATTGATGTTTTAGTTTGAAGTTTTCCTCCAATATTTAGCTCCCTTTAGATATGTCAATTGGTACATATAAAACAAAAATTATATTACACACTAACTTTGAAAATAACTTAAACACATAACAAAATAATTTAACATATTTACCTGAAAATTATTTGTGTTAAGGTTGTGATTGAAAATTTAGGTTTTATTTGGGGGAAAGAATAGAGAAATGAGAAGAAGATTGAAATTGAAACGGTAAATAATAGAGAGGTGAGAAGAAGGAAGAATATTAAATTGTTTGCTTAAAATTAAAACAATGAATATATAACTGAAGTGGTGCAATGAGTTATGGCTTTTGGCGAGGGTATTCCCCACGGAAACAAATGGTTAAACTGTGCATGGGGTAGCCCGTCGCTATTTTATGTATTGGAAAATGCCCCCTGCACGTACAGTCTTCACACTTTCATGATTAGACTAAAGTTGTCTAGCTGGCGTGGGGTAGTCTCTTGCTATTGTCATGTTGGCATTTAACTTGGGGAGGCCCCATCGCTAATTGCAGCAGTTTTGCGCATTATTTTTTTCTCAGGAGTGTACCCCTCGCAATGCAACATTTTAAAATTTAAATTTTCCCTCTTTTAATTTTGTGAAGGGTAACCCCACGCAATTTAATTTTATATTTTTTTTTATAATATACACGTTGCGAGGGGGCTTACCCCAAGCAACCTTGTTTTCTTTTGTTAGGGGTTTAACCCCTGGCTAAATTTTCCTAGCAAATTTCAGTATTTCATTATAGTGACATTAAATAAACAAAGTACTAATAAATATGTATTTAAACTTTAAATTGTATATATAGGTTATATTGTATCATGAGAGACTATTTATGTTCTTTCCCAGGGCAAATGACACATTCAAACCAAAGTACTTATTAAGAGAATCTTTTAAAATATGCAATAAACACTAACTTGTGAAGTGTCAGACTATAGTATGTATAAGCACGAAGAAATAAAAAATATCTCATGCAAACTTCACATATGAAGTAGACTATAAAATCGAAATAGACATAGATTATAAAGTGTTGACATGTACGCTCACAAAAAGTCAATGTTTAAGCTACATATTATTGGAATGTGAAGTGTTGTGCACTTTCACCATTTCATTCAATAAGAACAATTGTTCACATTTCTGTTAAAATACAGTTAAGACTATCTTAACTATTTATATCACCAACACATATCTTATCCTAATAAGGAATGTAAACTAACCATCTAAGGTTCATACAAGGCAGAAGCCCAATTACCATAATATGCCAAATACAAATGTATACCCTAATACTCCCCCTCAAGTTCCATGGTGGTGGCAATGTCACAACTTTGAGCTTGCTCCTTAGATCTTT